GACTGCGGAGCGATGCTTCTGGAAGTGGAGGGGGGGTTTGCTGAGGTACAGCCTGGAGCTTTCAGGTGGGGGCTGGCACACGCCAGGCTCGTCCCTCTGAACTGGGTCCTGGGGTCCCCGGCCCTCCCAAAACACCCTGCAAGGGGAGGGGAGGAGGATGCAATTGCTGTTTCTGGGGTAGGTGGGGGAATGCTCTGCATTCCCCTCCTGAAGAAATGCCTCCAGTGTCAGAGCAGCAACAGGCACCAGGAGAAACATCTCTGCTCATGCTGGCCACTGGCTCAGGGACAATGGATGTGGCTTCTGCATCTGAGCCAGGGCTTTGCACCAGGGGGGTCACCCAGGGATCCCTGCCAGAACTGGCTGGGGGTCTCTGGTGAGTGGAAAATAGGAGAAAGGGGGCTGAATCCTTGCACAGCTCATCTGCACAGGCCTCCTCCTGGGAAGGCTTGTCCTCCAGGAATAAGCTTTTTTGGCTGCAGAAGGATGTCATTGCCAGCTCGGTGACAGCAGTGGGTGCTTGGCTCATCTCCAGCAGGCTAGGGGAAAGAAACAGTCTCCCTGAACTAAAGAATTTCTGCCCTGCACTCACTCAAGGGTGCCAAAACCCTTTTGCTCACTCGTGTCCACTGCTGTGTGCCACGGAGTGCAGAACAGGGAGGGTGCCAGGGAAAGGATGTCTCCCACCACAAAATGGAAAGGAGAACAAGAACTCCTTATAGGAACACGTGGATGGGGAAAGCAGAGGGATGTGAGCAGGAGCAGGCGGTACCAGCGAAGGCAGACAAGATCTTAATGTTTCCTTCCCAGAGCCAAGATGCAAAGAATCTGAGGCGACTGCTCCTCCGCCTTATGTCCCTGTTTTTCTTTCTTCTTGCTCAACTTCACTGGCATTTGGGAAATCGGTTGCTGAAGTAACACCAGTAACCGCGGGAGCTACGCCGCATCCTAGAAAGAGTTTAGGTTTATCCCTAGGGATGAAATCACCCTGGGTTTGATAGCCAAGTGCTGCGCTCTGTGAGCAGAGCTTTATCTAGGTCAGCGTTAGGTCCTCCTCCGCTCGCAGCAGAGCCGCTGGGGAGGACGTCGCCATCGGTCGCGTCTCAGCCAGGCACTGACGCGTGGCTGCTTCGAGGAAGGTGACGCCAGGTAAAGGATGCAAAGCGGGATGGTGCCGAGGGCACGAGGCCCTGCGGGCAGCGCTGCCCCGAGACCTGCCTCCCAGCAGAGGCAACTGTGGGTGGAGCAGCGTCTCTCCTCCCTCCCGCGGCTTCCCACTGCGGCACATGCCTGCAATTTCAGGAAGGAAGACAACGAATCCCTGGAGGAGCCCTTACACACCTCTGATTGCACAGCAGACAGCTGGCAAACAACCTGCACACCCTGCCCAAGTGGATGCGGCATCCAGCGGGGCTGGGACTTGAGGGCTGGGAGGGGCCTCCAGCACAGCCACAGGTGGGGTCACAGCACCTGCCAACCACAGCGCCAGCTTGCCTGCTGGCACTGTGCACTCTTGTGGCAGTGGCAGACTTAAAGCTCAGGCTAAAAAAAGGCAGCCTTGCAAGGAGGAACAGTGCGAGGAGAACACCCAGGCTGTGGCCAGAGGGTCAGGCAATGAAGTGATTGTACTCTCTCACATAGTGAGGTAGTAGCATACAGAGCTGGGGAGCTCCCAGCATCTGCTCATGCTGCAGAGCACTTAAGGAACTTCTTTTCATGAAAGATAAAAGCAGCAGAGTACCACCCTGCCCTGGCAAGAAGCAGGCTGGGGACGGCAGCCCGGCTGGCAGTTCCATGAGGATACCCAGCGTGTTGGGCTTGCGGTGGGGGAGGACAGAGACCAGAAAATCCAGGTCAAAGAGATAAGGAACTTGCCTGAACCAGCGATTTTCCACTTTGTGACTGCATTGTGCAAACACAACGCCAGCACACAGGCCTTCCTCACAGAGATCACAGGTGTCCAACACTTTTGGTGCAACAGCACATGGAGCCAGAGCAGGTTTCTCCGGTTGCTGCTCAAAGGTCAAATCCAGGCAAGAGTCCCTTCAGCCTGAGTGGTGCATGAACCTGGGCTAACATGGTCTGGACATCACCACAGACAGCTTGGGGTTAATTTTTACAGATAAGGAGAACGAACAGAAGGAAACATCTGTGATATGGCATGCATGGCTCCATAAATAAGACAGTCTCTCCCAGATATTTCTGGATCAGCCAGGAGAACCAGCCATTGCAGGAATAAACCTCTGCACTTCGCACTGCAAGGGAAATGCAACTCCTGAGTCTGCAGGTTATGTGGAGCTGAGTTTGCTTCGGGAGTGCCCAGCTCTGCCTGACCCACGTGGCTGCTCTTTGCCCCCAGAGCACCTGGTCACAGCCCCAGCTGGGATGCAGAGCCATCGCGGAGCTCTCCCGACTCACTGGCACACTTCACAAGATCACGTTTCCCTACCTCAGGTCTGGCCCATTGAGCTTATTTCTATTAAATGCATTTGAGAACATAAATCTGCCTTCAGGAAGGAAAAAAAAAATCAGCTCATTAAGAAGACAGACAGCGTCTACAGTCTGAAAGGAACAGCAAATGGCAGCTGCCAAAATCGTCAATGTTAAATGCAGCTGCCAGCTGGGATTTATTAAAAGGTAGTTATACAGCAGCAGTGGCGCACAGCACATCTTGTACTGAGGTAATCTCCCCTTTCCTCTCCCACCTTCGCACACATTGCTGGCTCCGATGCATCCAGACCTGCCATGACCTCCAGGACTGACAGCCTGCATGTGTTGAGTTTTACGCACTGCCTGGATATCTCATTTACTCGGTTCTTTATTTAGGAAAGCCAGAACCAAGGGGAAAAAGCTAAAGCACTGCTCAGAGCAGGCAAGAGATCACCTCCTTCCATATGACCCTGCTCTCTGCCTGTGGGAAGGGGCACCTGGTGCTATGCCAGACAGTAACTAAGCCACAGTAGGCTCAGCAACAAGTAAAGAAGGGATCAGCCAACTGGGGTTTTCCCTTGTTCCTAGAGGATCTGAGCTTTGTTCCACATGTGAACACCCTACGCTGAAACAGAAAAACAAGACATATAGAGAAGGAAGAAAATGGGTAAATACCACCTGTACTGGCTCAAGAAGCAAATGTGCGTTCAAGCAGGGACCACAGCATCCATGCCCTACACCCAGCATGGAATTTGAGCACCTCTAAAACCAAGAATGAGTTGGCCTCTGCAGCTCCTTTCTCACAACCTACATAGTCCTTCCTATTCAGCTTGGGAGAAGGACTGACTCCCATCTTGGCCCCAAATGCCGTGACCCAGTGCTACCTCCCATCCCATGGGATTTACCACCCATGCTTACCTCTTTAAGACTGATGTTTGCCGTGTAGATCACGTTTGTCCCATCCCTCTTGAAGTGCGAGTGAGGCTTGTCCTTGAGAATGAAGACAATGTCAGCAGGGATGTTGTCTGGGGTGGCATCTCCTTCTTTGGGGAATGTGATTTTGGTTCCCTCCTTCCAACCTCGCTTGATGACAATGTTTAGGATCTTGTCCTCAGTCCGCATGGTCCGGCCATCAGCGTTGAGCCTTCTGCGCGTGATCTTCATCCTCTTGGTGGATCCATGGTAGATCTCTTCCAGTGACACCTTGAGCTCATGGATGACAGGTGGGTCTTGGACCTTCCTCCGTGTGTGCAGAGACTCTTGGTGCCGCCGGTGAACCCCATTAATGCCGTTGAAGCCAAACCGGCCAAAGGCACTGAAAGGGTCGTCGTCATCATCCATATCCATGTCTTCCTGGTCAAAGCCATTGAACATCCGGGAGCGGCTGCTGGCAAAGAAGATGTCAAAAGGGTTGGAGCCTCCGAAGAAGGATGCAAACGTAGCATGGGGGTCTCCATGGAAGGTGTAGTGGAAAGTGTTCCCTGAGCCACCTGAAGAGCCACCTCCGGTTTTGAGACCTGCAAGAGAAGGAGGAAGACAAGATATGAACACTGGCGGGGACACCTTGCTGGGACTGCACTTTCCAGGTGGGAGGATGGTCTCTGTTGCCTCCAGGCAGTTCTTCTAGCATCTCCTGGGTATGCAGGTCATCCCTTTCAGCCCAACCACCTGTGAAAGAAGGCACCAGCTCCACCCATGACACACAGTCTTTCCCCTACATGCACCAAGCTCAAAATCTATTCAGGATTTGTCCCCTCTATCCCTGCTGAAGAACCTCTTTGGTTCTCTCCACCCAATTCACAGCATTTTAATTTCAAACATAGCCTGATCAGCCCATCTCCATTTTTCCCCATGAGCAGGCTCCCTTCTGACCCAATAGCCTTGTCAGAGTGCATATTAGGAAAAATTTCTTCACAGAAGAGGTGGTCAGGCTTTAGAACAGGCTGCCCAGGGAAGAGTCACCATCCCTGAAGTGTTCAAAAGGTGCATGGATGTGGAACTTCGGGGTATGGTTTAGTGGTGAACATGACAGTGCTACATTAAATGATCTTACAGATCTTTTCCAGCCTCAGTGATCCTATGAGCAGGTGGAGGCCAGCATATCTCCAGTCTGGCACACAGCTCCCTGCATACTGACTGTATAAAATGCCAGGTAAGCTCCAAGTTTGGATATTTTGGCAACCCTTCCCATGGGAAACTCCCCCACCAGGTCCCAGGCTGAGCCTTACATCACTGCAACTCCCCCAAAGTCCCAGGGAGCCAAGGCACATGACAAGTGCCCCCACCAAGAGGTTGCACACACTCTGCAAGGCTATTTTTGACCAGGAAGGGTGGGAAGGGTTAAGCCAAGCCTAGCTCAGGGACTATTTTCAGGGCACACCAGTGACAGTGAAGGGCTATTTCTGACAGGCTGTTCCTTGTGCCAGCCCCCCACCCCCCTCCACAGCAGGACAAGTTTGGGGGTCTCTTCTGATTGATGAAATTAACGTTCCGGATAGGTCAGAGGGACTTTCACTTCACCTTGCCCACCACAGTGTGTGCGACCCAGAAGCTCCTCAAAATGCCAAGCCCCAAGATGTGTTTCTCCAAAACAATGGGAAATCAAAGGTGGGGGACATCATGGACATGACTGGTACAGTGCTGATGGGGTAAGGGGAGCATGGTCTTTATCTCAATGGGGCAGTGTGGGGATGCTCTTCCCTCCTTCCATAACTCGCTCTTATTTTAGATGCCTGCAGGTGATGGGGTTTTTGCCAAATCCACAGTGAGACCCTGTCCCTAATAGACTGTACAGCCAGGAGGTTTCACCTTTAATCCCATGACGCCTGAGTGGGGTCTGATTTCATCGTCACCTCCTGGGAAAAGTTGATTTCCCACTTGAGGCAGTCTCTTCTCATTTTACAGGGTGGCAAATCACTGTGCTCAGTGCATCCATCATAGCCCTGACATAACTAATGGGTTGACAATTAACCTATGGCTTGTTAATTCTGCTGGGGGCTTTTGAGGGGACCACCCAGCAGGCTGCTCCTGCCAGACCTCCTGCTCTTTTAAGCACCCAAGTCCTGGGCTGATTAATGCAGATGCTATTCAGCACTCTCCTCGAATGGGGTTGTGCTCTTCTATCTTCGACTAATAAGGCCGCCTGCATTGGAGTGGCTCTCCTCCTCCTCCTCCTCCATGCCAACCACCAGACAACAGCAGCCGCTTGGTTTCAAAACAAGGGCCTATTACTTAAATTGGGAAAAGCTTTGAATGCTGCAAGTCAGCCGGTACCAGGGAGGGCAGCGGGACCCGTGCCCAAACGGAGAGGGAATGTGGGCAAAAGCACTGTTTCTCTGCTGTGTTATTTAGGTCAATTAAAGAGCTGGTAATGAATTATCCCAGGTATGACCCAGGAAGGAAGCTCCTTCCATTTCTATCTCTCAGCCAGCACCCAGGGTTTTGGGGCAGAGAGCAGGGAGAACCCAGACAAGCCAGGAAGCAGGGTGGCAAGCTGGAAAAGTGGAGCAGCCTGGCAGAGGAGTGGGAGGAGAGGTGATTTCTCACACCTGTGGAGCCTTTGCTCTCCCTGATTCTGTGGCTACCAGGCCCATTTCAGGAGCAGGCATGAACATACACCAGAACACCAGTGTGTGAAAATACTCCCCTGCCTGTAAAACCGATTTGGACCCTACGCCCATACCACCAAGTGGGCAGTGCTCATCCCCTTACCTTCCTCCCCATACTGGTCGTAAACGGCTCGTTTCTTGGGGTCACTTAGGACGTCATAAGCCTCTGCGATCTCCTTAAACTTCTCCTCAGCATTGGGGTCTTTATTCTTATCAGGGTGATATTTCAGGGCCATTTTCCGATAGGCTTTCTTAATTTCATCCTCATTGGCGCCGCTCTGGATGCCCAGAATCTTGTAATAGTCCTTCCCCATGACGGCAACGCTGCCGGGAGCCGAGTACTTATTCCTGAAAGCAGAAAGACAGCTCTTCGTAAGGCGAATATCTCCCCGAGGCAGACAGGGGCAGGACTGGCACGCACTTGCCACGGAGCTGATGCTCCCCCCGTCCCACCGGCCAGCAGCACCAGAGCCGGCTCAAGTCCACGCTTCCCACCAGAGGTCAGAGCCCCGGTGACAGAATGTGTCCCAGCTCCAGTTTTACCCCGCTGAGCCCCACGGCAGGGAAAGATAGACTCATCTCTGAGACTGACAGGGAGAGAGAGCCCGAGTCAGGGCACGGCGTTATTATAGGGGCCACGCCACTGCTCACGTCAGGCCAGGACCGTGTCCCTGTCCCGTCCCCCCCGGCTGAGTCAGGAGGGTTGAGCTATGTCTAAATGTAGCCGTCAGCCTGTGTCCACCCCTTGCCCCAGTTCTCTCCCAGCTGGGGACCTCAGACCCAAGTCGGGGTGATGACAGCAGGTTTTCGGAGGCTGAAAGCGGTGGCAGAGACCCTGTTGCGCCTTCACCTTAAAGGAACTTCAAACATTTTGTTCCTGAAAGCAATTGGCATTCAGCTGGAGATAAGCGCCTCCGGCTGTCAGAGCCGTAATTTGTATTTAGCGAAGGGAGAAAGGAGCTGTTAGACAGAAACATCTTGTGATGGTGGGAGGGCTTTTTTATTTTTTTGTTTTAAAAAAACCCAACATTTTCTAGCCTGACTTGCCCTCCCTGAGAGCCTCCAACTGCATCTTGCAGCGAGCCAGGAACCCAGGGCTCACTCACTCCATCGTGCGGGGGCCGAGGCTGTGGCCATGCCTATATGAAGGCATGTATAACACAGTGGCCGTTTTTTTAAGTGACAGTGACTCAGGGAGCAGCTAGAGGAGACAAAAGAGCTGCTCCTCCAGGCCGAGGCTGAGCAAGCCCCACACTCCTCCAAAGATGTATCCTACTGCTTCTCAACCTTCAGTTATCTGACAGCAAACTCCTGATCCCCTGAGCCTGGCCTGCCCCCCTCTCCCACACCAACGCTCAGTGCTCACTGCTGGTCCTGCTCCACCCTGGCACTGCCCCAGCAGACCTCGTGCTCTCCCATTGCTCGCATCCTGCTCCCTGCTACAGTCCAGCTGTCACCCCATCCTTATTCCAAACACCCCTGAGCAGTCTCAGCCTCCCGTACCCCTCCAACAGAAGGATTTCAGCACAGGAGTGTGAGCCTTGGCCTTTTTCTTCACCACCATATAAGCTACCAGATGTTCTCCCCTGTCCTTACTCTATCCATGAGCTCCTGTTGGAGGTCACAGTGGGACCTCCCAAACCACAGCAGATCAGACAAGGGTGGCTGTGCTCCCCCAGGATGCATGCCCACAGTGCTGCACTGGGACCCTGGCATCCACACCAAGCATCCAACACTTGCTTTGGGCCATGCCTCGGGCAAGGATCACCTACAGGGGCTTGGAAATTGGCCCCACACTTGGCCACCTCCATCCAACCCCTGCAGTTTCTTGCCCCAGCCATGCAGCACGTACTTTGCTGGAGGTGGGGAAGGGGGCTAAGGCACCTCTGAAGGCCACAGTGAGGGGAGATGGGGGCGTCTGCAGGCACGTGCAGCAGCTCAGGGGGCACAGAAGAGGTGGGAGGAGGTCCCTGGGGGCGTAAAGGGCATCTGACAGCGTCTCCTGTGGCAGCTCCTGGATGCCAGCATATTTCCGTAGCAGCTCCTGCATGCAGCAATGTTGGCAGCACCCAGCCCACGCAAGCACTGGGGGATGCTCTGCCCCCTGCCCAGTCCCACCTCCCCATCTGCCCCCCCCGGGAGCTGCGGGAGACCCGGCAAGAGGTGTGGGGGGGTGAGAGCTAACCTGTCAATTCCCCGACCTAAGTTCAGCCCAACGCCTCCCTTCCACACAGCAGCCTCCAGT